GAGAACTTGATCCCTCGTGATCCGCGGCGTAATCCGTTAATCAGAGGTGCCGATCGGCGGGGTCGGGTTGTCTGTGGGGTCACGTATGCCTATGAGCTAACTCAACGTCTCAAACAGCGCCTGTCCGTCAGCGATCACGCGATTGTGGTTGCAATTAAATCGAGTTTGCGCATTGAACGTTCCAGCAGTAAGCCCCGCCTTCGTTAGCAGATTAATTAGACGCCGTAGCGCCTCCAACACAGTAATAGTTGGTTTAGGTGCATATATTGGTTCGCGTAGCGATCCGGTCAGCTTCGGATTGATCGGCATAAGTACAGGGTCGCTTGAAAACAGCTTCTTCAGCTTCTGCAAATGGTACTTCCGGCTGAGATCGTTGAATCGCCAATCTTCAAACTTAACTTCGCGAACCACTGACTGCGAGGCTTGATCCATCTTCTCCGTCTTGAACTTGCTGACGGCTTGCCTGTTCTTGAAACGTTTCGATCTTGCTTCACCGAGACCAGCTTCTTAAATACGTTTGAACTCTTCGCTTCTTTCTTTATCATTTTTGATGGTTCATCTGATATGAATGAAAATCGTTTGGGGATTTCTTTAGGACTATCATCCTCAGATCGCGCTGCAAAGCGCGTTCTGAGGATGATACCCCGAAGGGAGCTCAAGAGGAGTCTGGGGGTTTTCTTCCAAATCGTGCGACCGATCTTCCTCTTTTCTGTTCTTGTCGTCAATTTCCCTCCGAAAACTTTGACGATCTGGAGATCCTTAAACCTCATGCGTCTGCTAAAATCCCTCTTTCGATGTCGCTTCTATCCCAGGCTCCGTCTTGATCTTGAATTCTTCGCTCAGGGACTCACGGTGAAATCCTGAGTCACCCGAATCTCCTGGCACGCGCATCATTTTGTGAAGTGGTGATCACAAATTCCTTGTGATCCCGAATCTCCACTGGCGTACGGACGACCAACTAGCGAAGGGTGTACCCCGATTCCGTGCTCTGTGTTTTCTTGCTCACCTTGTGTACCCGTCGGTGAAGCGGGTTGCGCTTTTCTTTATGGACTTGAGCTGAAGCTGCACTTGACAATTTTGGGTATAGGGGTTGATCGGGTGGAAATGCTTCACCCGGTCAAACGTAGGTGCGTATCGCGTGAAAATTCTTCACTCGATCGCTTGTAACTTGGGATCTTCCCCAGAGTCGCCTTTGCCAGGGGTGATGCTTTATCCGCGAGCATTCTCACCACTTGAGCCGTCTCGCGATCTTGAATCTGAGCCGTTTGGATCCCTGCATCCAATCGAAGTTGATGGGGGACGGGAACTGATGTCCCGTCTGGCCCAACAATCCAAGGGAGAAGCTTGCAGATACGTGGGTGACTCTCTATTCAACGAGAGGCCAAAGTTCCTGCCCGGGAGAAGTCGACGCGTGTTTTTCGTTGCAAATTCAATTCTCTGTAATGTTAACCAACCAAATCCAAAACCTATGACTATGCCTATCTGTTCGCTAGGTCAACTGTTGTGCACCGCCTGTCTATGTCATTCATCTCTTGCCTAATGTCGTCCACAGCAGAAACTCCGTATTGGATCGCGGTGCAGTGGATCGCGAGGTAGTGGATCGCAGTATGTGATCCACACCAATTTTATGATTTACTTCGATCATGTGTTACGCCGATCATAGCTCCCGTGGATCACTTCATAGTGGATCTCTCCATAGTGGATCGCGGTGCAGGGGATAGCGGTATGTGATCAACATCAATTATGTGATTTACACCGATCAGCAGTACATACCTAGGATAGATCGTGGTCGATCGGTTGCATCTTCGATCGGACATCCAAGGTCGGATCACCTCCACGTCCGAAACTTCGCATACTTCATTATCTTGACGATCCACTCTTCCAGCTTGCTTCAATATTTATCTATGTTCCATTGTCATTAGCGATCCAGTACTCCAGTTGGTGCTCACCCCTTGAGTGATCCGGTCCTTGTACCTTGGTAATTTAAGCCCTCAATCGCGGATAGCGATCGGTCGATCGTCGATCCTTGACTATATTCCTTCTTGACCGTCAGGTAGATCAATCTGCAGTATTTTCACAGTCGTTTTCTATCATTCAGTCGTATGATCCCATTATTCGTGCCAACGGGCCTATCTCTGAGCGCACTCAACCAATCAGATCGATCTCGCACTTAATGCAGTAGGGGTGACCCACACTTTCCATCATTCTTCTTCTGCACTTCCCTACAGTATCAATTTCTCTACTCGCACTCCGATCAAGAATTGCTTCCTAATTACCGCTAAAGACAACAAATGGATCCACAAGATACTCTCTCCCACGACCCCTACGACCAGCGGCATCAGATTCTTGAGTCTCAACAACTAGGCTCTGCAGAAATATGTTGTACTCACCCATCCCAGTCGCATATGGCGACGCAACACCACCCGCAGCGAGAACCTGTCGTCTCTCTTGGTCACCTCAGTCCCTCCCAGACTTCGGCTCAGCGCTTGGACTCTCACGATTTGAGCGATCATAACCTGCAAATTACTGTTCCTCGCAGATCGTATCTGAATGTGTATCAGCATCCACAACACAGTGATGAAAGCAAACAATCCGGCATTAACATTTCTATCCTCAATTTCCCTATTTATTGCAGCTTTTTTTGCAAAAGATAGATCGATCTTGATGTGATGGTGCTACATAACAACTCCTGGCTCCCAGCAGGGTGTAGAATAAGAGCGACGCTTAAATTGTAGAAAGACGGCGAAGGCGGTGTCGGGCTCACGTCAGAATTTGCTGTCGTCGTGCACTCGTCTCGTGATCATTTCATGATGTTTTTTTGAGTGGCGGGATGCGCTAAAATCCGGAACTTTATCCATTATATTATCGGACAAAAAGAACGAATGTCCGGACAAATGGCATAATTTTTGTCCGGTCAAACGTTTGCGCATTTAAAGTACGGAATAGTAAAATTTAAAGTAGGCATTAGACGCGCACGTCGGGCGGACTGAACAAAGCGACGTTCGCTGTCGTTCATACCCACTGGAAAGTGGGACGAGTCGATGGTAGCGTCCACTGTGATCGAAAGACGTCATGAACCTCCAAGTGGGGTCGATGAGAGAAAGAAGGACAAAATGTGCATTCGAGCAGCTATGTTTATGTATTGTAGTATCGGATACGGTTCCTTGGGCTGTACAGTAAGTATTACCGGATACGTTTCGTTGGTGTATAGTAATGTCGTGGCGAAGGAGAAAGAGGACAGCACGAAGAGGCTGGCCGACACGTGAGGGCGGAGATTGACGTGTTTTCTTCTGTGCTCTTGGTTCATCTTGAGATAGAGGTGTGTGTTTGTGTGCTTGTGTGTGTGGTCTACTAAGCTTAACATTCCGTCGGAATACACTCAGTACCTTTCTTGTTGGCACGTGGAAGTGGTCTCGTTCAGTCTCGTACACGTGAGTGATTTTACTCGCGTTGCGATAGAAGTAAAAGGTTTTCTGGGCTGTTTGTAGTGCGTCAAGTCATGAAGCAGTGACATGCACACCCCATCGACGGATCCGATCGCTTTGGGCGGTCGAAACGTCTAACGACAGGCACAACGCAGAATGCTGAACAAGACGGTGTGCTTCACTTCAGTCACGTCAACGGGTACGGTACACTTGTGCAAACCGAACAAACTATCGGTTGTGAAAGGACGCGCCCACTTAGTGACTTGGTCGCTGATGCGTGCTGCATCGCTGTCAATGGACCGCTTATGCGGCAGCAACAATGACAGCTGCGATCGAAGACTGCCTCTTGATGTCGTATTGAGCAGGTCCGCGAACGTGACTGTCTATGGGGGAGAAGGGTTCTGGTTGCCTGCACCAACTCGACGCAGCGGGGAACGTCTCTGCTACTATTGCTGCCGCTACTACTACATCAGGGGCAAGCCATCCAGTAAGGGCTTAACGCCGTTTGTCTTCTGATCGTCACGGGCGAAAGATGTGCGGTTTGTGACGCAGAGCGGGACGCTGCAAGTCACTCGACACGAGTTCCTACAAACCGGTCGGGTCGGTCCATACCGTTTGGCTCGTCATGTGCCAACATCGCAGCCATCGAAGTCATGGGACGACTTCGTAGACAAAGCTGCTGTCAACGCGCCCCGCTCGAATCGTCGAGCGAATGAGGACCCGTGAGAGAAACTTTGGCGTACTCGAACGTAGTAGGCATTCGATCGCTTCAATGCCGCGAGGGCTCATTCGACCCCTACCTCTCCAGTATCGAGCCGCGTGACAGTGATGCACGATCTCTCGATGGTCAGACGCAGGTCTAGTTTATCCGATGGACGAGTCTCAACAAGAAGGGAGAGGTACGACAAAGAGTCTAAGAGTGTGTATGTGAGGGTTGGCTGTCTTATGTGGTCGTGAGGCAATGTATGTCTTGCGCGTGCATGTATGTATCGCGTGTAAGAGGGTCGTGTGAGAAAGTAGTGTACGAAGGTATGCATTGATAGAGGTGAGAAGGAGAGGTCCGCGTGTCGGCTACAAGCTTACGTATGACTTTGTGGGAATGTGGTCGATGGGTGAGTGGTGTGTGTGTATATGGTGTAAGTTGTTGGAGGGTGTGGTTGTGTTCGTTGATCCGAGAGACGGTTAGCATCTCCCTCGACAAGGACGGGATTGCACGCAAGTGCACATTTACACACAGAAGACACACATACACATGTGTGCAATGTGAAACGTTTGAGCTCTGTCCTCCACGTGAAGACATCTACCAACCAACTTTTTCGCCATTGCCGCATGCCGACCAAGCGATCCATCGCATCGATCGGTGGATGCTCCAGCAGTAGTGGCAGCAGTAGTGGCAGCAGTAGTGGCAGCAGTAAGAGGAGGAAGAGCAAGAAAAGACGGTCAGACGGGATCGACACTGCCTGGTTCGCAGGTACCGATGTACACTCTGCCTCCTCGTCGCATTCCGTCGACGACTCGAGTCGCAAACCCACTGGGACTGCAGTCGCCTGTACAGCTACTGCCACTGCCACTGCAATGTCGGACTCGACGCGCGTCGCAGTGCTCGTGCCCTTTCGCGACACTCATCCGACGCAACAGCGACGCACTCACTTGGACGCGTTTGTGCCGTACATGACGGACTTCTTACGCCGCCACTGTGCTGCAACGAGGTAGAAAGCTCGCGAGGGTCTACCAAGTGAATACGATGCGTTGGCTGGGAAGGAGCTGCTGCTCGTCCTGCCAGTCGACCGAAGCTCTGATGCTGTATGACCGACCGCCTGTGTTTCTCTTTTGCTCATTTGCTTCTCTCTCTCGCTCTCGCTCTCTCTTTCTCGTCTCTCTCGTCTCTGTGTAGTGCCTCGTTCCACCTCTTTATCCTCGAGCAGTCGCTGGACGGCCGCAAGTTCAATCGGGGCAAGTTGCTCAACGCAGGCTTCGACATGGCGTGCACTGACTACGACGTGTACATTTTCCACGACGTCGACTTGCTGCCCGCAGTACGTGGTCAACACAGTCGAGCGGCGCTTGTGAATGGCCGAAGCGTCTGTTTCTGACAGTACGTCCGATTGCATGTATGTGTATGTGTGTGGGTGGCTTTGTTGTTTGTTCGCTTTGGACTGCGTAGGACAGCTTGAACGCGTGGTACACGACTGTGCCGCATCATGGCCCCGTGCACATTGCGCGCGTGTGGGACCGCTATCGCGGAAGCCCAACTTACTTTGGCGGTATCGTCGCGTTCACGCGGGAGCAGTTCACGCAAGTGAATGGGTATCCCAATACCTTTTGGGGGATGGGGCGGCGAAGACGACGAGCTCTATTGTCGCGTCGTGCACAAACACCTCACTGTCCAAGCGCCGACGAGGTCCGCCAGTCTCGATGTTGATGCACTGTTACGACTTGTCTGGGACCCACTCACTCACCCACTCACTCACTCATTCACTAAACTTTCGCTCACTCTCATCTCATTTCTCTCACTGGTTTGACGGATGCATCGCAGTGGTGCCGTTCGAGATCTGGAAGAGATGAACCTCAACGAGAAGCTCGCGGTGCTTCGTGCAAACAAGTGGAAGTGCACAGTAAAGCGCGAGTTGCTCAAGGAGCACCGTCAGACGTGGCAGAAGAACGGACTAAAGGGTCTGCATTACGAGTACGTCGATGCGGAAGCTCTGAACGAGCATTGCACCAAGATCACCGTCCACCTCGGTCCGAACGGCCATTGGTCGGACTCGAGGTCGTCATTGGAGACCTCACCGGCGATGGCTTCTTGTCCAGCTTCGACTTCAGCTGTGGTTCCACGACGCTCACCTACAGACGTTGGAAACGACGAGACAACCGCTACGGTCGACACGACCGGAACTGCGTCAACGCACGTTCCATAACAAGTTGTCAAGGCATTGGTTTGCCATGAGAACAGCCCATACAAAGTTGTAAGGGATTGGGTCGCCATTGAAGGCGCGCTCTCTGATTGGTCTTAATGAACCAATTCAGTTTGGCTGGACGCTAAGCTCTTTGGACGATAAAGAGGATGCCGAGCAGCTTCTTTGGAGCGCTGACACAGGGCGCCAAGTTTAGCGGCGCTTCGTTTCTCAACGATAAGAAGCAGTTCAATACATTTACTACAGGTGCGTGCGTTGTTTTCACCTCTTACGTCATGTGTTCCAGCAGTCGGTCACCATTTGCGTGGCTTCTCATGTTGTCTGTTCCTTTTTGCATGATATGGTTATACTGTGAAGCTAAGAACGCGGCTAAGAAGAATGCAGACGTGGATGAGCTGGACTTCTTTGGCTTCAACTCGATCCAGAAGCCGAAGGAGAAGGCACATGAGCGTTGCAATACGAGCGTCGAAATTATAGCTTCCAAGCCAGTTGACAACGCTTCGGTGAACAAAGTGCGCAAAGCCAAGGGGAGTAAACCTCGTCGGAAACGGAAGCTGAGCGAAGGTGCGCTCGAGGAACAACGTCTGGAGAACGAGGCGCGACAACAAGCGTCGCTACTTCTCGCCCCATCAGGGTCGAAGAAAGACAAAAGTGATGATCTTTTTCGTCGGTCGCGTATGGAGTTGGTTGAGACTGAGTCCGTAAGTGAAGAGATGGGCGAGGAGATGGGTGAGGAAGCAGCTACGTCAGATAACGAGGGGGAAGAGGATGATGATGATGAGGAGGAGAATGTTCGATTGTTCAAGTCTCATGGCAACGATGCCGATGCGAAAGTGACTCTTGGAAAGGCAGCGAAGCAGACGAAAAAAGAAGCTGCGCAGAAACTAACTGGTGCTTCTGCTGATCAGTATGTGGGATCGTACATGCTGTGGCTGATAGGTCTCGACGAAAGTGTGCTCACATTTTGTGCTTATGCGATAGGGAGGGCGTGCAGATGCTCCGACGCCAGCTTGGCATTCGCGTGAGTGGTGTCAGAGCGCCAGCCCCGATCACCTCGTTTGCTGACATGCGCGTGGATTCCAGCCCGAATGCACAGCAGATGAAACGCCTGCTGTTGCAGAATATTGAGCGGTCAGAGTACAAGGAACCTACGCCAGTGCAAATGCAAGCTATTCCAAGCATCTTGCTTCGACGCGATGTGCTGGCCACGGCGCCTACAGGGTCCGGCAAAACCGCAGCATTTGCGATTCCGATTCTAGCAAATTTGGCTGCTAGTGGCGCAACAAGTCGCGGTATTCGCTCGATTGTGTTGGCTCCAACTCGTGATTTGGCTGTGCAGATTCGTACTGAGTTTACACGTCTCGCAACAGGAAGGAAGACGCACATTACACTACTGTCGAAAGCCACCGCTGCTACTATTGCTTGCCAGACCAAGAGCAAGTTAGCTGTGAAGCACGATGTACTGATTGCCACGCCGCTTCGTCTCGTGCATTTGATTCAGGAGGCCAAGGTCGATCTCTCCGCCGTCGAAATGGTGTGTCTCGATGAAGCTGATCGACTGTTGGAGCTTGGCTTCGTGGAGCAGGTTGACGAGATATTTGCTGCCTGCACACATGCTACCGTCCAGCGAGCCATGTTCAGTGCTACAATGCTGGAAGGAGTCGAAGAGCTTGCTCAAACTGTGCTGCGCGATCCAGTCAAGGTGGCAGTAGGAACGAGAAACACCGGCGCTAGCACGATTGATCAAAAGCTGGTTTTCGTCGGCAAGGAAGAAGGGAAGCTCGTTGCGATTAAGCAGCTGCTCCATGATGGTCTCCAACTCCCAGCGCTGTTGTTTGTGCAGAACAAGGAGCGTGCGAACGAGCTGTATCACGAGTTGCTGTACGACGGTGTAAATATCGGTGCTGTTCACGCAGACCGTACGAAAGAACAGCGTGACGACGTGATCTCGCGTTTCCGCACTGGCGACGTCTGGGTGCTTATTTGCACAGATCTTATGAGCCGTGGCATGGACTTCAAGGCTGTAAATATGGTCATCAACTACGACTTCCCACAGGTTTGGCTATGATGGTTTGCATCGTTGTGACATTGCAATAACAAATGTGTACGAACGTTGACAGAGCGCTGTAAGCTACATTCACCGGATTGGCCGTACTGGTCGAAATGGACGCAAGGGCAAAGCTGTTACGTTTTTTACGGAAGATGATATGGTGTACCTCCGCACAATCGCTAACGTGATGAAGCTCTCAGGCTGCGAGGTTCCTGACTGGATGCTCTCGCTCAAGAAAGCCAGGTATGTGGTAGCTCCTTGATGACGAGTCTTGCTGTCTTTCGCTTGACTTACCTTTGTTTCTTTGCGGCACCAGTGTATCGAAAAGGAAGGAACTTTTGAAGGCACCTCCTGTGCGGCACCGTATCAACACGATATCTGGGTACGATCTCCAGAAGGCACACCGGGTGAAGCAGATGAAGCAAGCGAGGCCCAAAACAAGCGGTGATACCAGCGACCAGCCAGAACAAGTTGAGAGCAGGAAGAAACCGACAAAACACAAGAAGGGCGGCGATGGCAGTAGTCAATCAAAGTTACAACCTGAAAAAAAGAAGCGGAAGTAGCACAAGATGTCGATGAGCGAGTAAGTTTGGCAACCTAGTTATTGAACAGGTTGCTACTTTGATGCACGAACACCTACTTCTCTCATTAGCTTTTTCTTGCTGTTCACGTTGCATATGATAAGTGATAACACACGGCAATATTCCTGCTCCAACGTCTCACACGTTGGCCTGCCCTGCTTCTAAACGATCAAGATCCTCGCTGTCCTCGTAACCTGGTTTCCCTGTCACCAACGACGGCGGTGCAGTCATCTTGCGGTACTGCAGCAGCACGGGGTACATCTTGTCGATGGCTTGGTGAAGGTGGTTCGAGTCGCGTGCGCCGCATAGCACAATCTTGCCAGACACAAAGATGAGCAGCGTCAGCTTGGGCTCTACCAGTTTGTAGATGAGTCCAGGAAATAACTCCGGCTCATACTACACGCATCGAACGAGGTGCAACGTATGTCAGCATGGTTTTATCCCGTAGTGCCAACTCCTTCACATCTCCTTCCAACACAAAAGCGTACACTTGAGAAGCGCGCATGGTCGTTCAGCAGTCCTTCCAGCCGAATCGGAAAGCGGACATCGCACGTACCCATTACATTTCGGACTTTAAATTCAGTAAACTTCGCCGGAAAGTTCAGTTTCTAAGCAAGAAAAAGACAATGCACGACCTTAGCAGCCACTTCAGCACACAACATCAACGACCAGTCGTCTGTACATAGTTACGAAACATCATACGAGCACAGACCTGTATTACGCGCGTAAACTTGCGAGCAGCTAGTCGGCAACTCCCTTCACTCGTTCCACCAGTAATAACAACCTAGCGTCATTACCACATTGCTTCAGTGTCAGCTCCATCCATATGGCCGCATAGAAATAGTCATTGTAGCCTTTTTCCCGACTTCACTCAGAGACGCACTTTTCCAGATCCAAATATCAGCGCTGTCGTCTTTGGGTCGCGCAATCGCATGATCACCGCCGAAAAACGCTGTAAGTACAGCGTAAAAAACTCGTTTACAACATTTAGAGCTCCGTCTCGTCACATGTGGGCTCGAACTATCAATTGCCGAACCTTGGGGTTGTACTCGGCGTTGCGCGCATGCAGCGCAATCACCTTGAGGTCGAGCGGTGTCTTCAAATCCACCGTACCAACGACGTTCCTAATCAATGGTACCCACATTCGGGTTACGGGGTCTAAAAAACGCCAAAAACTTACTAAAAAACGCCAAAAAAACGAGCCCAAACGTACATGATCTTGACCTGCAAATCAAGACGGTCCTCCCAGTCGTCGTCCACTTGCAGCTCATGTGCGTCAACAGGCTGGATATCGTGGCTTGGCTCGTCAATCAGCGCGAGTTGCCGCTCCTTCACGGCGCGAGAGCTGCTGCGGGCAGACGCCTTGCGCATGGCTATGTATTCTGTCCGTTGTTTTGACCACCGTCAAGGCCCGTTTTAACCCGACGGTTTAGGAGAATTGACCGGCGTCTCCTCCACGAAAACCAGGGGGCCTAAATCCTCGACCTTAATGATTGGTGCATAACCCAAATGAGTAGGTACCATCTAGGGCCCACTGCCCCTGAGTAGCATCTTCCCTACTTTGACACGGCGAGACAGCGTCCGTTGTTTTAGTCTAGAGTGTGTCGCTAGCTGCGCTCCGTGTCATGCCCGCATACCTTGACTATCATGTCGTGCTCTAGTTACCGAGCCACCGCTTTGCCGGTCATAACACACGCGCCTACATGTCCACTCGGCGGGCTCAACCCGCTCGTTGCGTGCGTAAATGCGCGCGCGAGAAAGCCAGAGCAGCGAGAACCTACCCATTTTCCGCCTGAGGTTTTTTACCCCTCGTCGAGGTTTTAGCCTAGTTTGGTCGAAATGTGACTTGGCGCGCGAGGAGGGATTTTCGCTTTTGCCCTCAGTTTTGAACGGGGCGTTCGAGCCGTCGAGTGTGTTAAAACCACGTGCGCGTCGACCGACGCTCAGGCCGCGAGTCCTTTCGTCCGTCTCCTTGTCCCTGCGCCCGCCCGCCCGCCCGCCGCTCTTCCGCCGACGCGGCCACTCGACAGCGGCCGTTGCACGCGGAGAAACACGAGCGAGTGGGAGAACGCACTGAACGCGTCGCGCTTCTGTCCGGTACGACGCCCCGCTCTCTCCCTCGCGTCTCGCACCGCCTTTCAGTCCCTCTCTCCGCCACTCACTTGCGTCTTTCGTCTCTTTCTCTCTCCCTCTCTCTCTCTCTCTGTGTGTGTGTGTGTGTCTGTTGCAGCCACGCCGCCTGTGAGTCCTTGACCTCTGTGCTCGTCTTGTGCGCAGCCGTAGCGACCGTCGGGTGTTTGTCCTCGCGCTCCTTCTGCGACACTGCTACATCGACAACTACTACTAGTACTTGTGCTACTTTACTGCTACTGCAAGGGCCCGGCGCGAATGGATTCGTTTGGCTTTGACTTTGCGGGTGGCGACCTGTTGGACTTGGGCTCGCTCGGCTCGTGGACCAATAACACGCCCATGGGCAACTCGCCCAACGGCGGTAACGGTAGCAACGGCGCGCTGCCGTTCAGTGTGGGTACACCCACGGGCGTCCAGAGTCTCGGCGACGACCCGTTTGCCAACATGCCGAGCACCAGTGACAATGAATTTAGCTTTGGCGACTCGCCCAAGCCGTCGCCCAGTGCTCAAAGCCAAAGAGCGCTGTCGATGCGCTGGCAGTTCCTGCGACATCGACAGCGATGGCGTCAGAGCCATCGTCATCATCGTCGGCGCCCAGTGCGAGCGCCGGGACGGAATTGGCCACGAGCTACTTTGGTGCAGAGCTGGAAGCTAGCGGCCCGTCCCCACGGGCTCCATCACGTGCCGCTGCCTCGTCCTCAGGGACGACGGACGCCTTGTCGACTGGAGATACCAAGAGCAAGAAGACGAATGTCAAGAAAGATACTGCGCAGTCAAAAGCTGATGCAAACAGTGCACCGACATCGGTGTCGTCGACAAGTGTTAAGAGCACTGAGACTCCATCGGCGTCAGTGCCTTCGAAAGAGGACACAACGAGCTTGGCAACAGTGACGTTGTCGTCGACTCCGAAGGCGTCTTCGTCCATAGCGCCTTCGACAGGGTCACGATCGGTATCTAGCAGTGGTGCTACGAACTCGGCCCCGAACAGTAGTAGCAGCGTTGCCAGCAGCAGTGCAGCGACGTCTACGCCGTCAACAACATCGTCTGCGCGACCGCACATCGGGAATCAACAGCAACAACAGACAGCAGCAGCAGATGCAGATGCAACAGCAGCAGAGACAGCAACAGTATGCCAATCAGATGATGATGAACCAGCAGAGTGGCCAGCCCCAACAGTTTGCTGGTCAACCATACCAGCAGCAAATGCATGCCGCCCAGATTGCTGGGGGTGTGAGTGCGGCTCCCGCTCCACCTGCGACTGCCGCTAGTCAGTATATAGGAAGTCAGCCGGGTCAGGCCTACCGTCTACCGACCTCGTCGTATGAAGAAGAGTTTGCGCGGGTGAAAGCAATGATGATGCAGCACGTTGATCTGATCCCCCCACCGATGGAGGTGCTTCGTATCTCGATGAGCCAAAGCGCAGCTGGCCAGCAAAGCATGACTATGGGTGGCAACGCTTATATGCAGCAGCGTGGCAATCCAGCTATGGTCCGTGGAGGCGCCCCAGGCAGCGCAACGTATGGTCAGTATGGAAACCCAAATGTGATGATGGGCGGGCCTCTGCAGAACGCGCCTCAAGCTGGAATGATGAATGCAGCACGGATGCGTGCAGCGCAGATGGCGCAGCAGCAGGCGCAACAACGTGTCGCGGCTGGTCGAACGCCTGGAGGAAGCAACGACGCGCAGACCGCGTGGCAGTCGGAGAACGATCTGCCTTTGCGGCGGAAGATGATCGGAAAAATGTACGTTTTATCGTGGAAGTGCTGTACTGATCGAAGATGGATTGCCTAATGTTCTGTCGCAATGTTGCTGATGTCATGCAGCGTAAGTTTGCTACAGCAGCGAAAGCCAGATGCACCTGCTGAGTGGATCCGCCGGTTGCCGGACATGGCTAGGAGACTGGAGGATTCATTGTACCGTACGGCGAAAAACCGAGACGAGTACGGGGACTTTTCGTCACTGAAGACTCGACTGCAGCATTTGGCAGTGACGATGGGTGCGCGTGCTCAGCACAAGGCAGGAGGCAACTCGCGCGCTGCAGGTGTAAGTAGCGTACCCGGTACAACTGGTGGCACGGCCGGAAACAACGCGATGATGACTGCTAGTGCACCTCCAGGCATGGTAATGAATTTGGGAGCCGGCGGGATGGGCCCTCAAGGTCACGTGGTAGGCAACATGCCGTATGGGAACCGTATGACTCAGCAGCAATTGATGCAGCAGCAACACTTGCAAATGCAAATGCAGCAGAACCCTCAGATACGACAACAGCTTACCCCACAGCAGTTGCAGCAATTTCAAGAGGCTCAACTGCAGCGGCGGCAGCTCCAAATGCAGCAGGCGCAGCAACAGGCTCAGATGCAGCGTCAACAGCAGCACCAGTATCAGCAGAATCAAGCTCTTCAGCGCCAGAATTCAATGCGTCAAATGCAACAGCAGCAGATGCAGCAACAGCAACAGCTGCAGCAACGGCAAAATCCGAACTACATGCAACAGCAGCAACAACAGCAGCAGCAGCAAGTCCAGGCCCAAGCTCGCGCGCAAGCGCAAGCTCAAGCTCAGCGAAATGGTACAGCTAATGGCGCAACCAATCAGCAGCGCATGAGTGGAGATATGAGTCTGGGCGAATCTTCGGACTTTATGAATTTGGACTTATCTTCGTCGTTGCTGGGATCTGATGATCTACAAGGTGGTGTGAATTCCAGCCATACAGGAGGTGACGCAATGAAGAGTGGAAGCAATGCCGTTGCTCACCAGGCAAGTCAAAAGCGCACGCTTTCTCAATCTCAGCAGCAAATGGCAGCGGCGGCAAATGCAGCTGCGTTTAAGCGGACTAAAGTAGGAGGAGCTGCCGGCCAGGCTGGCGGCGCTGTCACAAATCAGCAGCATCCAAGTACTGCAAATTCCGCATCTCAAGTATCACAGCCCTCGCAGGCACCGATGCAGAAATCCGTGACAAGTACTAGTGGCTCATCGAAGACTCCACCAATGAGTACAGTTAACGCCAAGTAACGAACGCTTCATTCAACGGATGTGAGCGATGACCGATAGTCGAGGGAGACGCGAAGAGGAGCATGGACGGAACTTATCAGGATGAGCAAGCAGACATTACGGTGGCCCAGTGGCGAACTGGGGCTACGTGCAGCCAGAGGAGAGTGATGGGGCGTGTGAACGTATACTGCAAACCTACCCGTTTCCGACCTCGTGCAAAGTAGAGGCAACTACGCTGGCCTTATTTGTTAGGGATGGCGTTATACCGGGCGAGTAGACAGAGCGGGTTCCAGTTGGTTCTGGAACCCCGCTCACGTTCGGTGTGCATCATCGAGGACAGCGCTGCTGCTTCAGGCGATGGCATACAGGACATTGTGCGTCGAGCTGTTTACAGCATGGGCGATGTATAGGCAAAGCCGCTGTGGCTTGAAATGAATTTGTAAAGTGGCGAGTTTGAGTTGTGTAGTTGCGTCACTTTTTTCCAGGCAACACCCGATTGTGGATGTAGTTCCAGCTAGATTAAGTCGCGGGCCAAAAGATGGTTGCACCTGCCAGAAGTTAGCTGTCGATGTCTCAGCCTTGTCTGGCTCAAACTTTGCCGACCCGGAGGAAGAAAAGAGAAAATTCATGACGATTTATGTAATCTACAATCATGCACAAGATGTCGGTAAAGCTGCGGGCGAAGAAATAGGCGCGGCATCCAGCAACTTGTCGTAGCAGACCCTTGTAGAAGCCGAGAGGATCCGTGTTGTTTGAGAGTAAATGGATCGATACAGACATCTAATGAAGCCCCTTGGACGATTGTGTCGGGACTTTGATGTTCGCGTTGTACCAACGCTGTGAATCAACGCATCCCGAGCTCCTGTGAACGTGAGACGCCTCGGGTTGTGATCTGCAATCTCGGAATACAGCGTCGTGCCTCTCCTTCTACAAGTCAGTTGGACGTACGCTACACATGGGAAACCAAATCCGTTTTCAGCTAGACCTGAACCCCTCCCTGCCTCATGATCGTATTGTCGCAGCAGATGCATAGACGGCTTCTTTTGTTTCCACCGTCCCAAACGCTTGGCGATTCGCATTCCGCAGAAAGCGGCTGGCAGTATTCCTCCCGCCATCCCGAATGTGCTTCTGTTCCTCCTGTCCAATGACGGAAACATGTGCGCCAACATGTGCGTGTCTATAGAAAGTGCCAAAAGATGTCACCCGGACGACACGTCGGTAGCGCACAATAACCATTGAAATGTGAAGACCCGCACGGTAGAGGTCAAGTTGCTTCGTGGCACTTCGATAGCACGCCTGGACTTGATCTTTCGTGATGTTATTTGCGCACATGATAATTTGAGATGGGCGCAGCAGTGCGCTGCAATCAATCCGTGCTGATGATGGTATCTGTAACGGGGTGAGCCCGTTACATAAAAATTGATACATTCGTATCAATTTTTGAACATTATCTATTTAGATTATATTCATTTGACATTAATCGACAATAGGTACTGTTGGCAGAATATTACCCCTATATGTAATATATGTGGTTGCTTCACTTCTTAGTTGACGTTCACGATACATCAACCAAATAAACCACCAATCGCTGCTGGACGCGCGCAATGGGTGGTGAGCCAGAAACCCACATAGGAGATTGTAGTCTAATATAGTTAGATGAAGACAAAGATGGTTTATTAAGAAAACATAACTATATTAATCACAGTTCTACTTTCCCTCGGACAGAGCCCTCGGGTTCTGTTTGCTTCGGTTGCAATTGCTCCACGTTTTCTACGTAGAAACGGCGACACCGTCGGTTTACTTCCTACCAGACAATCCGTCCTTGTCTCTACAATAACACGACGCCAATCCGTCGGGCTCTTCGACCTAGTCCTGCCTTGGGCGGTCGCAAATCGATAGTCTAAGACTGTGCTTGCAAGCATTATCATTTGCGGTGCATGAGGCTTGAGGCAGACACCCTCAAAAATAGCAGGAATCGGAGTGCGCTAGCGTTTGTGTTGGCAGATGCTAGCGAGCTCCTGCAATAAACGTTGCGGGTTTTGCGTCTCTCGTTCCTCGGCAGCGATACGGGCATTCATGTGCCTTCACGCACCATAGAACCATCGAGACTACACGAACGGAAGCAACCCTGGGGTGGAGGTTTGATCAAGCGCTGAATCCAGGGGTAAATCGTAGAGGAGCCGTTCGTCTCGAGTGCTGCTTTTATGCGCTTGGAGCCCTGTTTGACACGCTCTTCCGTCCTCCTGCGTGTTGACGCTAGACTTGTCGCATGAGCGTAAATGCCTCGTGGCTGCGGAGGGTGAGAGATGACGAATATCGCACAAGGTGTCTACGGCAAGAATTCGTCCAAGAAGGGTATTTTAAGGAGGACCGATCATGAGAGACACGACTACCGACGTTTTGTTGGCAGGATGGTGGCTCGGCTGTGGAGTGCAGTGCCTGTTCCGGTCCCTGCGTATTATCTACCGCGACGTGACGTGCCTAAAAGCTGTCTAAAAGGTGTCTCACAACGAGAGAGCCGGTCGTCTTTCGTGGATCAACGTCGCCCGATTCAACCCGTATCCTTAGCAGTGTACTGTTCTTGGGCACAAAGTCTTGGCGCTAGGATCAGTTTCATTGCAAAGCATTCCCATCTTTTCACTGTTCAGCTCGAACCAGGTGTCTCCTCAGCCTCTCCCACGGGGCAGCCCCTTCGGCTGGAATCCTCCCTCTGGGAGCCGAGGTGGGTGTTTCTGCCTTAAGTATGTTGCGCTCGCAACCGTCAGTTGCGGGTGCGGCCATGTCGCGGCAGATACTGCGACCCGAGTTCCCCGTTTCATCGCATCGGCGGTCGCGCACTACAAGTCCGGCGGGCCGCACCAGCGGTCTCTGAGGAGAAGGCACCGCGAGTGAGGCGACCCCCGCGCCACGCGTCATTGCTTCGGCGATCGTACATACCAGTGTTGGAGGGCACTCGCGCGACCGCAGGGACCGTCTATCGTCAAGGTAGCGTCTTCCATGTTCTGTGCCTTCGCTCCGGCGATACGCAACTTCGGTTGGTCGGCCGCGTTCGCAGTCGCCACCCTCGGATCAGGCGTCTTACCTAGATGCATTGTCACTGCTCTGTTGCACAGGGTAGCGTCGCAATGAGAGCGCTTGAATGGTAGGCTGTTTTAGGCTTTGATGGGTCCGTTTTCGAACCTCCTTACCCCTCGCCTCATATTTCTTCGGAGCCCACGTTTTGGTCCCGGCTCCGAATTGCAAATCCTGGCTCATTCACTTCAGTCACCTTGGTACACTTAACTATGTCAACAGACGCACATAAATCTCTGTCAGGTTTTTGCAAAGCCGATGAGATAGAATTCGTGTGCGTTCCTCAATGAGTCACCTGATCAGGTCCTCAACGATTCACCTGGTCTCGTTCTGAATAAATCAGGTCCTCTCGTCTCTACAATTCAGGTGGTCTCTCGTTCCTCATTCTGCAAAATCTCTCGCCAAGCGCAGATCGCGCAGCATGCATATGTACTGCCTGCTCTTCTTGGTCTTCTTCGTTGTGAACGGCGTCCTGACTCATGTTGCCGCCTTCGATCCGAGCGACGCCCTTCATTCCAAAGCGACTGTGACCACGACGGAGGACCCTTCGACTACCAGCGATGCAGCTGTCAACATACGTGCGCTAAAGGGTTGGACCGGTGAGGAGAGAGGCCCTGTGTTTGACAGCATATTTGGACCGATGAAGAAAGCATTCGAAAAGCTGATGGGCTATATCCGCTCGTTTCTATCTCGCTTTCGTCAAGAACAGGCTGTCAAGCCGACCGAAGACCAGACGCTTGTTAATAAAGTCATGGGGCCGCTGCTTTCGGATACGCACCCGGAAGCGGTGTTTCATATGCTTCATTCCGAGGAAGGTCGGATATACAAGTGGCTTGAATCCACCGCGCTCTATCGATCGAATTCGGGAGAGACGGGGGGTTTTATTGAACAAACGGTGCTACTTCTGGACCAATTTTTTGTCACAGACGAGGCGATACTTGCACGTGTCTTTGCCAAGCTGATGATGAATCATCCTGAATGGAAAGAATTTGCTGAAGCGGTGCAGAGACGTCACTATAAGGACCTGGTTGTGAAATACGGTGTGCTTCCCAGTCAGTTTGAACGTCACCTTCTACCCCCTGGTTCCCCTGGTCGCCCTGATCAGTCAATCGTCGATTTACCGAAAGATGATCCTATTTTTCGCGCCTACAAAGCCTTCATCTTAGAATTTGCTGATGCGCAAGGCCCTGATAAACGAGAGAAGTTGAAGTCCCTCTTTTCCCTGGACGACGGCGCTAAAGCGGCTAATTATGTGACCGCATTGGAGCGAATGGTTCCTGATCAGATTTACCAGAAACATAATTTGTTTTCCGAATGAGGGATGATTGTTCACTCCGTCGATGGTCATCAAGTTCCGCGACGTGCGTTCAGGGGTTGTTCGAATGCAGTTAGGATAAAAAGTAAATACATTGACTGTACCTTGGCCTTGCCTAATCCTACCACCAGTAGAGCAGAAGGTATGATATAGTCTTGTTTTAGCGAAGCAGTGGTGTCTTGGTATACACACGCCGTCTTTGCGGTCAGCTACATACATGTCTACACTGTCTTCGTGATACGCCCGTTCTCAGAGCTCACCGCAAACTTTGTCGAGACGTATTTGTACAACCAATCAGTCAGCCTTCATCCTACCGCAGCAAACAGCGTACATTCAGCACACTCTCATCGATCAAACATCTTTCTCGATGTGCGAAACGCAAGTGCGGTCATGCTGGGGGTACTCTGCAGTCGTGGTTATCCTCGTGCCTTTCCAAATCGAAAGCCTACATTCTCAGCTCTATTGTAGATAAAAAATCGAAGCCACCAAGAGAATCAGTAGTTTTGAGCTTGCAGCGTGCTCGACAATAAGGTCCTCCTAACTAGTTTTTGTCTCTTTGAGAGACAACAGACTGTATCAGCTTGGATATCAATGTCAATGCAGCTTGCAGTTAGCGGCTTATTCGATCAATAGTGCGGTCTCTAGAGCATAAGAAGACCACAACAAAGGCCACGTCCGTAGATCCATTTCCACTCCGCATCAAGCAATGTGACACTGGAAACAGTGGGACAAGCGGCAATAACAGGTTCAAGGGCCGACGGAATTCAAGGGATCAACAGCAGCAGCTTACCAACTCGGATGCTTTCAATGAGAAGCTACGTTACGAAGAGCATTCGCTGTTGCGCTCCTTGCTCAATCTTGTGCTTATATGCCTTATTGCTTGTTGGCGGTTGTGCTTGGTGGGTGCCATTGCTAGTGAAGATGCCCTGTGTCGTATATCTCTGTCGTCTCCTGCTTCGACTTGATCAACGTGCAGCAGACAGGGCAAAAAAGTATCTAAGCCTGCTGCTGGGCATTGTTTCTTGTAGAAAAGCGTGAATGCCCAATACAGACGTGGCGGAACAAACACACGTTTGGCTCGCGTTGCTGTAAGCGACAGGATTTTGAGCAAGATGACGCGTAGCATGGATACACCAGCGCTCGTAGAATGATCGCGGCAAGTTACATGTGTCCGTATGAGTAGGATTGATAGAAGGCTCAAAAGAAAGAGGCACTAGCGCTTTTGGACTTGACAGATGCCTTGGGTCTGTTGGTGGAATAGATGTGCTCGATTGTCATGGAAAACTACCAGTCGATGAGCAGCTGTTCGAGCGATTGCAAATTTGCTCGTTGACGGCTTTTTTCACATGGTGCAACATC